ACCACGACCACCACGACCACGACGACAGTGACAGCGACAACGACAACAACTAGTGTGACGACACGTCTTGTCTAGCCATATGCGTTGAAGCGCAGCTGCTGGTCGGACTGCAACCCTTGAGGTGCTTTTTGTAAATGCGGCAGGCTGGGCCGATACAGCAACTGCTGGTCCGCGATTTGTGGGATCCCTCCAACTTTCGGGTCACTGTTGGGGATGCTTCAATGCATCTTCAATGCTGCTGCAAGCTCAGGTCCAGCTCCACTAGAAGGCAATGGACAGCGGTACTTGCTCTGCATGTCAGCTCTCCGACCGGGCCGAGGCGGGGCCCATGCGGCCTATGCAAAGACATAGAATTAGTCCCGATATCGGGTATCTGCAGTGGATGAAGTGCACTTCTGCTGCGTTTGCAGCTGATTAGCGCGTCATCGCCGCAGCTTGTTTGCAAGCAAAGTCCCATGCAAGGGGTCCAGAGATGTAGCAACACCGTAGTCGAAGGCACCGTAGCCTTATGTGAATGCTCCAGAAAGGTGTTCCGCCATGTTCCGCTTAATCTAGATTGTTCACAGGGCCACTTTGCTCAGCTGCCTGTCTGAGGCCACAACGTCCGAAACCTGGCATTGCAAGCTTGCTGGGGTCCTGGGCTGAAACGCCAGCTGCCAAAAAGTTGCCAAGGACTGGCCAAGAACTGAATAACGGCAAGACTGTCGCCTTCAAGATGGTATCTGGATTTCGGACTTTCATCCTGTAGTGTCCGAAGGCATCGATGCCGTACTTCCTGGTGCGGCGGGAAGGCTGGACTCTGTACTGAAAGAACGATTCGTAGCAGGTACCTGGAGGTACGCTCCGGATCGCCGGCAACATGCTCCACAATGACCTCTTGGTGGACGTAGCCTTGGGCCAGCCATGTCTCGTCCCGTATGTCTCCAGTAGTTTCAGCACAAGGCTCCGGCGCAACACACCCATGACATCGGCCAGATTGTTGTTGGAGACGGGATTGGTTTCCTAACGCAAAGGAGCAAGGATTCCTCAACGTTTTGCATTTCGCGTCTATCCCCACTAGATTCTAGCGGCTTCTCCCGGCATATCCTTGCCACCCGCAGGCTTTGCAAGCGCACGGTACATATCCACCGTCTGCACCAAATTATCTGCCATTCCTGCAGGCAGCTGATTGAATACCGAAATCCAGTTCAGCCAATGCACCTGTCGATGCCATTAGCAGGAAGGCAGCCCATTGCCCTTCAGAAGATTTGACAGGAAATTTGAGAAACTGCAAACAAAGCACGGGGTGACAAAGAGAAAACCGGCACTCTCACTGCACTGCCAAGGTCAGGGCGAGGTAACACTGCTGCACAGCCAGACTTCATCCCGCCCTGCTGAAATCTAATGACAAAGGTCTGCGGCGAAGCGTTGCAATCATCCTGTCCGTCGCAGTCTCTTCTGTTACGCCGGCTTGACATGGGTCAACTTCACTGAAGTCTGCATGGACATCTCAGCATCAGCTTCCTTCTCTCTCTCTCTCTTTCTCTCGCCCTCTCTCTCCCTCCCCCTCTCTCGCCCTACCTCGCAGCCAACATTTGCAACTGGACCCGCCACGCAACTTTTGTGTGCCGTCCATCTTGTACACACCGAATGCGCTATCCAATACCGTCAAAACGCTGCACTGCTGATGCCGGAAAGAACCTTTGCTCTGCGTCACTCTCTTACATGCTTGATAGCAGCTAATTGGACCAGGATATTAATGCAAGCCCAGCTCTAGCAACTCTGCCATCAGAGGGGAAGTCAGGCACATCAGCACCTGACTGCCTGTCTCTGTAGCTTCATGACTCCTGTCCCAGGAGTGTCTTCTTAGTTCCCTAAGCAAGTCCTGTCAACTGTAATATCACTGGCCTAGATGATAATGCGAAAGAACCAAAGAAAACAAAACAAACGCACCTTGGCCTCACAGGCGTCTTGCCCGCTGTCCGTGAGACTTGCAAAACTCCACGTGGCAAAACATAACGTGTTCAGACTGGGATTGCGGCGCAGGCCTCTGCCGCTCCCAGCCTAACCAAGCCTATGTTTTCTTTCTATGCACCTGTATTCATCATAAGGCAGATGTTGTCGCCCTTCAGCAGGATGCGACCTCAAAGTCAAACTTCCACAGGAGACGTGGCTTCGCTTCGGCTCGCGGGATACGCTGGGCCCAGTGCCAATCGCACGGCGGGTCTTCTTCTTGACCATGATCTCCTTGCTTGGTTTTCATCGTGGCTAAATGCTCACTGCTCGGACTCCTGTAATTAAGGACTTGGCATGAAGAACCCTCACTATACAAATGTTGACAATAGTAGCTAGCATGAATCATCTGCTTGATTAAAATTTGATGCATGCTTTCTTCGGCTGATTTTGATAGCAGCTGACATGCTTCAACCTTCGCATGCGCCATCCGAAGGGCCTCTGCATCATCAATGACCAGGTTCATGTACCTCATGCTGCAGAAAATTGTTGATCACAGGTTCGCATCACATTTCCTCAGGATGGTGCTCATCGAAGCCCAGGATTCGGCCTTCAATTCGCAAATCCGACTGCTCATGCAGCCACACCTGCAGCAAAATGAGATCTCAGAACATGAGCCCGTCAACAAGACTAGACGCAAAAGGAGCAAAACGACCGGTCTCGCCTGCACTCGAGACCGGTTCTGTAGGTATCTGAAAATCTGATTGATGGGCAGGGTCCTGCCAGCGCGTCTCTTTCAAAGTCGAAAAGTCGCGCTAGCATTTGAACTAACAGGATTGCTGAATAACGAGAGGGCAGTCATGATCTTCTGAAGCTTCTTATTGCTGATCGCCATGGCTGCAAAGAATTCGTTTTCACCGGCGTCTCGTCAGCAGTCCAATCCCTTTTACTTAGCTTGAGCCTGAACAGCACAAGCAAGAACAACAAAGAGCAACCGCTGAGAGTGGATTCCAGCTTCACTTCGTCAAAACTCGTCTGAACACGTTCTTGCAAATCAAGTAACGGGTGACTCATTTGCTGGCCAGCATGTTTCTAATCGCAACATTCATGCAACAAACCTATGTATGCGCTAACCACATGCTTTAAATTGGAGCTTGAATGCACCTTCTTCCCAGCATCACGCATCTTGAAGGGCACGTGTCACACGTGCATTCGGGCCATACAGTAGTATGAGAAATGACGTCGGCGCATTCGCAACAGTACCGCGGCAAGAGGTGGACCCGGCACACGCCTATCCAGCAACACCCTCTTTAGGTCTGCAATGCCATGTTGAAGTCGGACAGTAAAATGATAGAACTTTACACCATGCGTTTGGTATGGCTTCTCCTCACCCCTAAACTTGACAGATGCTGTCCAAAGATTTGGGCTCATTTGTGTTGCCGGAATTGCATACAGCAGCATATGCACGGTCATACAATATGCGCAAGCATAAAATCCAAATCGAGGAGATCCACCTAAACAGGGAGAGTGTCGGCGTTGGGGAGATGAAGGGTCCACGGCCACTTGCCCCATTTGCCCAACTTGCCCCCCACTTGCTCCACTTGCTCTGCTTGCCCCACTCACTTGACCCACTTGACCCACTTGCCCATGTGGGGCGAGTGGGGCAAGTGGGGCGAATGGGGCGAGTGGGCCAAGTGGGACGGACGCCTTTCATCGTTCCTCTCCTGCGGTCGCAATGGCAACAGGGGCAAGTGCCACCTGCTTCATGCCCCAGGACTCCTGCACCGGAAGTGTTGCTTGCAATACTGGCCTTCAGCCCAAGACAGTGGGTCTCTGAACACAGAAATCCATGCTGATGCTCATTGGCTTCTCAGGGTATTTATCTAGCTGAAAGTCAGGGCAAGACTCCAGGCATCAGGATGCAGGCTCCCAACCCATGCAGAGATGCAGCTGCTGCAGCAAAAGCTTTGGCGCAACTTCGTCAATCCTTCCCTCTCACAGCGAGTCTGCCGTTGTCTGAGCCCAAGCGGAATCTCCTCACCAGATTGCTGCAAGGCCTGTCACGAGAATATCTAAAGAGCTGGAGTTCGTCAAAGACCCCACGAGCACCCGAAAGTGGCCTCTTCGATGGCCTGAGACAACAACGGAAAAGGCAAAACATTTCCAGCGATCTCATGGAAAGCACACCTGGAACTCCGGCTCCAGGAGTCGCTTGAAGCGGCGCACCAAAGAAGCATTGTGGCCTTAGCTCGTCCCACGCACACAATGTAATCCAACGGAAGGCTAACATCTGAGCACCTGTGAATATCTCAGCCTGCCCCCAAAGAACCTGCACTTGACCCTGGAAGGACGTCTGCACGACCAGATAGATAACCTGCACCCGCCACCCACTTTGCGCAAAGCGCAGAAGCCCTCTCTGCTGTATACAATGCCTGTGCCAAAACAAAAGACACAAACACTGGATCTAGACATGCAACAAACTTGCGCTTTCTACACTTTACGATCGAGGCGTCTGTCCACGACATCGACATTCGGCAAAATACCACACTCGGTTCAAACATGTTTCGCCTTCTATGAAGTATTAGGACTTGACTTCATTCGACTCCAGGCTTGCTCGAAGATCCCGAGATACAACAGACCAGGCGCAGCACTCGCTAGTTTAGATGCTGCACTGGTCCTGGTATCTACCTTCCTGACCCGCTGAAACTCATCATAGATGCTCCAGCAATCCAACAGTCCGAGGCACAAAGGTCTGTCCGGTGACCAGGGAGCGTGTTCCTGAGCACTCTGAAGAATAGCAATGCTCTGACCCAGATGACAATGGCAAAGCTGTGAGGCTGAATGCCATCAGGCATCTTCCTCTGGAAGCTGGCCTACAGGGTCAAGTTTTTGAAAGAACTCAACACTCTTCCAGCAGGGAGGTCTGCCCGCCAAGCCTTCGCAGGAAATGGTGATGCACCCAAGAAAGCGGCTATGCGATCCCAGGTCTTTCTGACTTGGTGAGAGTCACCCCGGAGCGAGTCCTGGAGTGCTAGCACGATCTGGCTGCAGCCACATCAGCCACTGGTCTTCTACTCCGACCGGAAATCCTGGTGAATCACTAGCAGCGAGTCGCCAAACAGCTGCAGAATTCCTGCAGGATGGCACATTTCATGTTGCTTGCATGGTGGCAGGGGCATGCGCAAGCCAGGCGCCTGGCAGCAGAGCGCCAAAATGGTGGCGCTCCAGGAGGGGATGCTTTGCGGCGTTCCTCGTCTTCAGCTCTTTCAACTTGCATGGTAAGCAGTGCTCATATTCCCTTGGACATCGAGACGTGCTTCGCTCAAGCAGAGTAGCGGGTTGCTCTGCAGCATGCGCCGGTGATCGTCGGAATGGAAGCCCCCATGGACATCCTCCAAAGCTGCCGCCACGCTCGGCCAGCAGCGTGGGCGAGGCGACGCTTCCGAGACCTCCGAGCATCTTTGCACTACTCTCTGTCCCACAAAGCCTTGAAGCCTAATTCCCAGAAAGCCTCAAGAAGAGTGGCCGTGCCTCGTTGGGCTGGCTGCGCTGGCAAACCTCGAGCGTGTCCACCTTTCCAACATGTCCACCACATCCAACCGGGGAAAAAAAGAGGCGAATAACCCAAGTCACTGAGATGCGCACCAAGAAGAAACGCTCCAACCGACCTGGAGGCGCTTTGCACAAATCCTTCTGCAACGCACTCAGAACACGTTATCGAATGTTACTGAGCCTTCAAAGTTCAAGACAGGTTCTCTTGGGTCTGCACCCATTGGTTCGCAGAGAACAAGCAGAGCACGGAAGCCACCCACTCCTTATGGAGAGCTCAAAACACAGTCACAGGCTGTACGTAATGTTATCATAGCATGATTAAAGGGGTTGTCAATAATATATTGTTGCCGAGCCAAAAAGATCCCGGACAATCAAAGTTGTTTGCTAAGAAGCTCCCCCCGAAAATATATGTACAAGTCCCATCCTCAATAATAAAGGGGTTGGCAATAATGATATTGTTCGCCAACAACTTCCTAACCTTAGGTTTAAAGAGACGAAATGTTAGTTAGGTGCAATTAAATGCTTGCAGAACAGACAGAAAACAATAAACCTGCCTGCAGCAGGTCTGATTCTTACTTTTGCTATTACTATTACTTTGACGATTACGATTACTATCACTCTTACCATTGCTACTACTATTTCTATTACTCTTACTATTGCTACTACTACTACT